TTGTATCAAAATAAAAATTTTTTTAAATTGAATTAATTTTTAAAAATTAAAATAAATAAAAAAGTAAAATAAATAAAACATGTAAATAAATAATAATAAATTAATTAATACAAATAATATAAAAATAAAAAATAAATTAAATTAAAAAATAAATTAAAATTAGAAAATTAAATAAAAAAGTTAATAAAAATGTTAATAAATTTAAAAATTAAATAAATTGAAATAAAATAATTAATAAAAAAATAATAACAATTAAAATAAATAATTAATAAACATAAAAAATTAAATTAATATATAAAACAAACTAAATAAATAAATAAATGACAAGTTTTCACTTATAGTGTTACAAAAACTAAATTGCTGTATTCAAAATTGCACCTTAGACCCTCATTCACTATACCCTACATTAGTCCACTAATATAGTCCACTTGAAGGAGTGAATGAAGCAAGTGAATTGGAGCACTACTGAGTATTGTGTGTCTGAATACTCGACAACTTCTGCGTCAATCAGAAAAGTGCTGTTTATTTCATTTGCATCTTTGCTTCTGTGCATTTATCTATGCTTGTAATTAGATTATTATGTGTTATGCAGAACAATCCTAATTAGCATAAAATTATAAATTCTTTCCCCCAGAAAAAAATTAAATTCAAGCCATAAAGTTAAATTATCGTAAAATATCTTGCAGAAAAATTAGACTAGATATTCTTCAAGACACTAGTGTTCAGCTTAAAGTGACATGTAAAGGCTTCACTAGGGTAATTAGGGTAAAGTTAGGGTAATTAGGCAAGTCATTGTATAACAGTGGTTTGTTCTGGAGACAATCCAACACTAATATTGCTGAAGGGGCCAATAATATTGAGCTTAACATGACTTTAACACTATTAAAAAACTGCTTTTATTCTAGCTCAAATAAAACAAATAAGACTTTCTCCAGAAGAACAAATATTAGAGGAAACACTGTGAACAATGCTTGCTCTGTTAAGCATCATTTGGGAAATAATCCACATAAAATATTGCAAATACTTTTGCCCTCAGCTGTAAGTCTAAACAAACTTTTGGCAGAGTTGCAGTTTATTGTCCTCCACAAGGGGGAGCAGTGAAAGAGTGTGCACTAAAGCAAGTACGGAGAAGTCTTTTCAGCTTTTCAGCATCTCCTTTTGTCCAGAAAGGCCTTTCATTAAGACGGATGCATTGTCGTTGGTTTTGTTGCTGACACGTTACGCTGGATGCATAATGTGCATGATCTGTCAGGATGTCTATTCATTGCATGTTCTTTACATTGCAAAAAACGTCTTGTTTGCATATGACGCACATAACGCCATCAAATATGTTTGGAATGCATTATCTTGTAACAGGCTTGACGCTTAAAGGGGCAGTTCACCTTATTTATTTACTCTTCCTCAAGTGTTTCCAAACTTTTATGAGATTCTGTCTTCTGTTTTACCTCAAAGAAGATATTTTAAAGAATGTTGGAAACCTGTAACCATTGTCTTGCATAATAGGAAAAACAAATACTATGAAAGTCAATGGTTACCAGTTTTCAGCATTTTTCTAAATATCTTTTACTGTGTGTTTTACAAAAGAAAGAAACTCATAAAGGTTTGGGCTAAGCAAAGGTTGAGTAAACAGAATTTTCATTTATGAGTATTATTATTTATTTCAGTGTATTTCAGGGTATCTTAGATTAAATATATGCAATTAAACATTTTACTAGTGTATTTTCAATATTGCTGCAAACAAGATAATATGCATTCAATTCACAGATTGACACTGCAAAAATGTCTTTGCTTCATTCCATTTTGACTCATTATTTCTGAAAACTAAACAATATTTTAAACTTGTCCAGAAAATTCTTCTTGATTTAAGAATCTTTAGAAATTTGGACTAGAAACTGCATTGTTTTGATGTAAGAAAGTATAGCTTTGTCAAAAATGTTAGCTGTTTATAATATACTGTAATTAATTGAGAATACATTGGTAATAAAATGACGATAGAAACATTTTTTACCCCTATTATTAAAGTGCACACACATTAATGTCATCATTAGAGGCAGAAACACAAACTCTGATCTAATGCTGGATTCAGCCAGAAGTTAAATCTGTCATTTCTAACCTTCCCCATCCCAAAACACAACATAACCAATATCAAAATATACTGCGAGTCAACTCATATCCTCATTCGTTCAGTTTCTTTCGGCTTAGTCCTTTATTCATCAGGGGATACCACAGCGGAAAGAACCCCTAACTATTCCAGCATATGTTTTACACAGCGGATGCCCTTCCAGCTGCAACCCAACACTGGAAAACACCCATACACACTTATTCAAACACACACTCATATGGCCAATTTAGTTCATAAATTTCCCCTATAGCGCATGTGTTTGGACTGTGGGGGAAACCGGAGCACCCGGAGGAAACCCACGCCAACACGGGGAGAACATGCAAACTCCACACAGAAACACTAACTGACCCAGCCGAGACTCGAACCAACGACCTTCTTGCTGTGAGGCCATAGTGCTAACCACTGAGGTATCGTGCCACCATCTTATATCCTGATTCAATCAATTAGTTCACACACACACACACACACACACACACACACACACACACACACACACACACACACACACACACATATATATATATATATATATATATATATATATATATATATATATATATATATATATATAAATAAATAAATAAATAAATATATGTATATATATATATAGAGTACATGTAAAGGAATATTTCTAGTTTAAAAATTTAAAGAATATATCTTCATACATCTACTCGTGATCATATTTCTCTCAGGGCAAATGTGTTAATAAAAATGTGACATATGAAATAAATATTAATAAAATATAAAACACTTTTCAGAAAAATAGTGATTACAGATCCAACATTTAAAAAAATTACAAAAAATATCTACATAAAATGCTAAATGTAAGCATTGCATTTTCCAGATTGCAACTTTCTTATTAATGTTTCTGTCTGCATCCCTGTAATAATGCTTTGATATAAAGGATGGCAAAATGTATTTTGTGAGCAGACTTTTTATCTCATCCATGCATCATACTGCACAACTCTAGAAAGACCCTGTCTTTTTTAATGCAATAACTTCATCCAAAATTTCATTTGAAGTCAAGTGACCACCCCTCACCCCCTACCCCACCCAATACAAATAAAAGTCCCCCTCCATGCCTTCCACAAAGACCCTGTCAATTTGCGCTCTGCATTTCAAACCTTTCTCCATCGCAAATTATGAAATAACTGATAGAGCAAAAATCTTACAACCTAATATGCCATCTTGCATCCTGTTAACAATATATATCACATTGTAGTATAATGTATGTAAATAAATGGCTAAATACAGTGCAAAATGTAAACACTGCATTTGCAAATTGTTTTTGTCTGCATCTCTGTGTAATATTGCGCTCATATCAATGATGATAAATTATACAATGTATTTTGTAGCTCTACAAAATAAACAATAGCGCACAGGCGTTTTATTTCATCAATGCTTCATATTGCACAACCCTAGATAGACCCTGTGCTGCTTTTCTATTTTTCCCACGCAAGAACTTCATCCAAAAGCATGAAATAAATTCAGCATGATAGGAAACAATAGACTTTTTATTTTATCCATGCATCAAATACATTGTACAAGATTTAAACTTTTTTTTAAATGCAAGAACTTCCAAGATTTAGATTTCATTAATGAAGTCAAGTGACCAATAACCCCCCCAAACAAATAAAAGTCCCCCTCCATAACGTCAACAAAGACCCTGTCACTTTGCTCTCTGCATTTATAATGTTCCCCATCCCAAAACATAAAATTAATAATAATAATAATAATAATATATATATATAAATATAATATAATAAATGAATGAATGAATAAACGTACTTTCATGATTGCAACTTTCTTCATGTTTCTGTCTGCATCCCTGTAATGATGTGTAATATTGTGCTCATATAAATTATAACAAATTATACATATAAGCATTTTGTGAGCATAGATTTTATGTTTCATCCATGCATCATAATGCACAACTTAAGAAGACCCTGTCTTTATATTTTATTTCATTTTTTCATGCAAAAACTTCCAAGATTTTTATTTCAATAAAGTCAAGCGACCAAAAACCCTTGAAACAAATAAAAGTCCCCCTCCAAATACAATGCAAAATGTAAACATCGCATTTGCAAGATTACAACTTTCTCGTTCATGTTTCTGTCTGCATTCCCATCTAGTATTGCTCTCATTTATTTAAAGACAAATTATACCAATTATTCAATGTATTTTGTGGTTCTGAAAAATAAACAATACAGCACAGACTTTTTATTTCATCAATGCATCATATTGCACAACCCTAGATAGACCCTGTGCTGCTTTTCCCTTTTCCATGCAAGAACTTCATCCAAAAGCATGAAATAAATTAAGCATGACAGGAAATATGCATCATAATGCACAACCCTAGATAGACCCTGACCTTAATTATTTATTTATTTTTCATGCAGGAACTTCCAAGGTTTGTATTTCAATGAAGAAGTGATCAACCCCCCCCCCCCCCCCAAAACAAATAAAAGTCCCCCTCCATGCCTTCCACAAAGACCCTGTCATTTTGCGCTCTGCATTTCTAACCTTCCCCCATCCCAAAAACATGATTATACGCTGCTCTTTTAGGGAGGGGAGTGGGTTGGTGGGGGGTCTGAGTGTGTTTGGGACCCCTCCCGGGCGCTGGAGGGCCCGCCGCGGCTCCTGCGTCTGTCTGTCGGGGCTCCGGAGGATCCGCACGGGTGGGGGAGAAAAAAGGAGGAGTGTAGGGGCTGGGAGGAGTCCGGGAACTGCTATTTGTAGATCCTTGTGATGGATTACTGCCGTGTGTGTGCGTGCGTGTGTGTGTGAGAGTGTGAGTGTGTGTGTGTGTGTAGGAGAGCACAGATTTTTTGTTCCCTTTCTTTTCACGCTGCTGAGCAAACAGTGTTGCATTGAAAAGCGCTGGAGCAACTCTAGTAGAGAGAGAGAGAGAGAGAGGGAGAGTTTTTTTGTGTGTGTGTGTGTGCGCGCATGTGTGTGTGTGTGCGCGCATTGGATTTGGAAGCGCTGTAGTTTTCTCGGGGAGTCTTAGGAAGATCATGCCTGCGAGAGGAGGATGTTGTCTGCTGGAGGTGTGTGTGTGGGTTTTGCTGCTGGTGTGTAAGACTGGCAGCGGGTGCCCGGCGCTCTGCACATGCAGCGGCACCACTGTGGACTGCCACGGGCTCGGACTCAAAAACATACCCAGGAACATTCCCAGAAACACCGAGAGGCTGTGAGTTTATTTCGTTATGTGCGTTTGCATGTGTGTGTGTGTGTGTGTGTGTGTGTGTGGGTGTGTGTGTTTGCAAAAGCAATTGAATGAGAACAATAGCTGAATGAGGCTGTGCCGTGATAACCTCTGGACAGGTACAATGTAATCTCATTTAATTGATATTTTATTAGTCGCATATGTGTTCACACACATGCCGTGAGATGCTTATGTATGATTGGCTGTGATCGTTATGAGTAGAAATTAATTATAGATTCAAATGAGAAATTGAGAAAAACTTTGGATATGTAGGTGTAATCATGTGCGCACTTGTGCGTACGTGTGTGTGTGTGTGTGTGTGTGTTGACATGTTTTGGGAGGAGGGAAACTTCCTATCACTCTTTCTGCTGTTGGAAACTTTCCCTTTTCACTCTTTATGGTTGCATTTTATTTATTAATTTATTTATATGTGTATTTGCATGTGTGTGTGTGTGTGTGTGTGTGTGTGTGTGTGTGTGTGTGTGTGTTTGCAAGAGGAATTAAATGAGAACAATAGCTGAATGAGGCTGTGGCATTATACCTCTGGACTGTTTTAATGTAGTTTTATTTATTTTTTATTAGCCATTTATACAAGCATATACAGTGAAATAACACACACTACCTGACTAAAGTCTTGTCACCTATTCAAGTGTTATGAACAGTAAATACTAGCTATACGTCTAGTTGCTGATCTGGTGTCAGAAGTGTCTCTATGAAAGGTGAAGGCCTCTAGATTTTGCTGATTTGAGCTCAATAAATCTGATCATGTCTTGATGTTGACTGATTTGATGAGGACAGTGCGGTCTGACTCTGCTCAGACTAAAGTCTCATCACTGAACAGAAATAATGTCCAGTATAGAATATAAAGTCCTGCTGCAGTGGAGACAGAATGAATATTGTGTCTGACTCCATCATGAGCTTGGAGGACTGCATCCATACATCTCTGACATGACTCACATCACTGATTAATAAAGTCATCTGGAATGAAGAAGAAAGCCTTCAGCAGAGTTCATCAAGAGTCTCTGTGTTCATCTTCAACGCCTCCTCCTTCATCAGCTCAATAATGTTGATGTCTGGTGACTGGGCTGGCCAATCCTGGAGCACTCTCTGCTTTCAGGAGCTTTGATGTGGAGGCTGAAGTATGAGCAGGAGCGCTATCCTGCTGGAGAATTGTCCCTCTCCTGTGGTTTGTAATGTAATGGGCAGCACAGATGTCTTGATACCTCAGGCTGCTGATGTTGCAGATCTCTCCATACTAAATGAACCCCAAACCATGATGTCTCCTTCACCAAACTTGACTGATTTCAGTGAGAATCTTGGTCCATGCTGGTTCCAGTAGGTCTTCTGCAGTATTGGTGATGATTGGGATGCAGATCAGCAGATGATCCAGCAGAGAAATCCACCTTCTGACACTTTCACACATCATCAACTAGAAGATCAGTTATTATCTGCTGCTCTTACCCCTGAGATCAGCGACAAGACTTTAGTCAGATATGATTGGCTGTGATCTGTGATATTAAATAAGGATTATGAGGAGAAATTAATTATGAATATAAACGAGACACTTTGGATATGTAGGTGTAATCTTGTGCGGAAATGTGTGTGTGTGTGTGTGTGTGTGTTGGGAGGAGGGAAACTTCTCTCTTTCTGCTGTTGGAAACATTCCCATTTCACTCTTTATAGTCGCTTGCTTGTAAATTTGATATTTGGGAGATTAAATATTGACTGTAGGAGCGCCGGCTGTTGTTCTCTCTTGGGTTCAGCAAGTCTCTTAAAATAGTTCTGAGAAAAAATATCATCTCTGATCAATAATGCATGTGTGAGAAACGCCAGTGCTGGTATGTGAAGACATTTGCATTTTAAACTGTTAGGTTTTAGGGACGATGTCTGATTTTCTTTTGTTGTGGTTAATTGCTGAAGCTTTTATCAAAGTATACGTGGTTATTTTTATGATCTTACTTACTGATGATAAGCTTACTAATAACTAAAAGACACTTGGTGTGTTGCTTTATTGTCTATACATTAGGGCTGCACAATATATCGTTTCAGCATTGATGTGTGCTGAATGAGCAGTGTGCGAATCTGCAACAGTCAGATCACAGGATCTGCATTGTAAACTTGGTATTATCACCATAAATCATCATATATGGTTAATCAGCACCACAGAATGTGTTTTTTTGGGGTCATCACAAAGTTTACCCCTAACATAGAGTGACAGATTTTCATTTAGATGCATTTTTAAGACCTGTGACTGTGTAAGATTTCAGCAAGCTATAGTATAGTATAGTATAGTATAGTATAGTATAGTATAGTATAGTATAGTATAGTATAGTATAGTATAGTATAGTATAGTGTTCAGCTTAAAGTGACATTTAAAGGCTTCACTAGGGTAATTAGGGTAAAGCTACTTAGGCAAGTTGTTGTATAACTTTGGTTTGTGGTTCTGGAGTCAATCCAACACTAATATTGCTTAAAGGGGCGAATAATATTGAATTAAAACAATTTTAAAACAATACTAAAACAATTATAAACAATTAAAAATTTTTTTTATTAAAATATTGTAGCTGAAATAAAACACATTAAACCTTCTCTAGAAGATAAATATGATCAGACATCGGTGAACATTTCCTTGCTCTGTTAAACATCAATTGGGAAATATTAAAAAGGAAAAAAATCAAAGAGGATAATAATTCTGACTTCAACTGTACACAGATGAGGACTCTATACTATACAGTGTTATTTCATGTATTATTATTGGATTTGTGTACCGCAATACTATTCAGTTCCTCGGAAATCATCAAATTAATTTGCATCTGTTTAACAGTATTGTATTTTATGCAGATACTCCTCTTCAAGGCAATCCCATTTGTTCGTTCGTTTTCTTGTCAGCTTAGTCCCTTTATTAATCCAGCGTCGCCACAGCGGAATGAACCGCCAACTTATCCAGCAAGTTTTTACACCGCGGATGCCCTTCCAGCCGCAACCCATCTCTGGGAAACATCCACACACACATTCATACACTACAGACAATTTAGCCTACCCAATTCACCTGTACCGCATGTGTTTGGACTGTGGGGGAAACCGGAGCACCCGGAGGAAACCCATGCGAAGGCAGGGAGAACATGCAAACTCCACACAGAAACACCAACTGAGCCGAGGTTCGACCCAGCGACCTTCTTGCTGTGAGGCGACAGCACTACCTACTGCGCCACTGCCTCGCCTCAAGGCAATCCCAATATATGTAAATTGATGAATTCAGTATCAGTATCTTGTGAAATTATATTCATATCGCTATATTAGAGCTGCACGAGTCTGGCTAACATGAGAATCGCGATTTTTTAGTTTAAAATAAAGATCAGGATTCTCTCACGATTCTGTAGATGTAAAATAAAGCTTAATATGAGATCATTGTTTTTTCTCAAGCATATGGTAAAACAACAATATTAATATTATGTGTAGGTCTATGGTTTCTATACATGATTCTATTCTACTTATAATAATCCTGATGTTGAATTATGTTTGAGATATATGTTTGCAATCTGTCATTGAGAACATTATTAGACCATTTAATTCACTGGTAAAACCAACAATATATAGACTAGAGTAGTTATACTGACACTGTAAACATTTATTTTCATCACAACTGTGTGTTCGCTATGAACGAAAAAACAGATCAAATGCTTGTCGCAGTCATAACTCTAAAATGTGATATGATTATGTAAATGATGTGCACGCTTTCGGTTTCATTTTCACTGCTAAGTGCTGTTCATACTTCGCGCGCGGCTCTCAAACGATCACTCTGTGCCACAAACTGAACATTATTTACAACTGTATTACCTGTTACTCACAGCATAAGCAGGTTCTGTTCACCTATCATTAAGTAGGGCACGTGCACACAGTCAGCAGCTTACATCACGTGTGATTTCCCGGCCGCAAATACATCATTATATAAAGACAAAAATGACATTTTCACGTATAGTATATCTTATAAAGGCCCCGTTTACACTAGTGCATTTTAGTTTGAAAACGCATAAGTTTTGCTACGGTTAGCATCCGTCCACACTACGCCGGAGTTTCAAGCGCCGAAAACGGAGCGTTTTGGAAATGCTGGAGAGGCTGTTTTCTTTCTGAAATGCTGCTGCTCCGTCTCAGTGTGGATGAGGGAAAACGGAGACATCTGAAACCGGAGGCGGGGCTGCAGACATTCGCTAGCTGATTGGGGCTTTTGTGTCATTGCGTATCCTTCCCTTATTCGTCAAGCCCCTATCACATGACTATAACACATGGCTTTAACGCTACCGGAAAACAGCAGACCAGCCTTCACTGTAAAATGGGGGTGTTGTTTGCACTATTGTCTGTTTTAGGCGCCATTGTGCAGTTAAACTCTGCGTTTTTTACTACAGCAGTGGCATATATATGCTAGAACAAGCATGCCCAGAGTGCGCAAATGGTCACGTGATATAGGTTTTTGGTGGCGTAGTGTGGATGGAGATATGTTCAGAAACGTTAAGTGAAACGCGGATCGTTTTTGATCTAAAACGCCGTTTTCTAACTAAAGCGCACTAGTGTAAACGGGGCCAAAGACAGTATGTGACTCTTTTTACATCATTCTGAGGAGTCCATGAGCAACCTGTGGGAAACAATAAAAAAAAACTGGTGCAGCCGCCTTTGCTTCTCTCCTGAACTTGAAAATATGATTGGCAGAATCGTAGAAATGCTGTATTAAGATCGTGTAGGGGGTCGAATCGAGATCCCCATCTTTATTCGATTAATTGTGCAGCTCTACGCTATATCGCAGAGAAACTAAATATAGCAATGTCACTTTTTGTCCAATATCGTACAGCCCTAATATACATGTTCATTGAATTGCGAAAGCCTGATAAAGTACATTAGGAAACACTTTAGTGTAAAGTCTCATTAGTAAATGTTGTAAATGCATCAAAATCAACAGTGAGAAAAAGACTGTGTTGTTAACGTAGTTAACTG